CATTTGAGATTAGCAATGCCAATGAACCCCAAAAAATACCTAAATTTTTACATGGCATATTTACCTCTGTCAAGAAACACGAACCACTCATAGTTTTTATTCATTTCATTCTGCTTTAAAATTATCTATGTTTTAGATTAGTGATCCGTGGCTGATCTCACGCAACCTCATAGTAAATAGCATTTCATCGTTATGTAACTTGAGAACTCATTAAGATTTGTGGCTTCTTACATCAAACCAGACAGTGGCCTGTCTAGTTTCATGAAAACGAGGTTAAGTACCGTACTAGTTTCATGTTATTTTTTTTTCTTTTTATTATAATATTGAAAAGAATGAATTTTTTAATTAGTTTTTTCATTTTTTATAGGTAAATAAAATATATTTTTAATTTCTTATTGTTTTATTAAATTGTTTTGTAACTGTTTTAACCAAGAGAATTCTTTTTCACTTAATATAGCCCAGCTAAGCCAAAAGTTTAGACATACGCTCAATGTCATAGATAATGATCAAAGAAGAATGAATACGAATAAATTTCAAAAAAGGTGACAGAAAAATTGGCGGCCATAATTTGCTTTCAATGTGAATTAGGTGATAGAATTAAGAAATACCAAATTTTTTAAATATGAAAGAAGTGAAAAAAAATTTGGCGAAGAAAAATATTATTTATTTACATAAATATTTCTTAAATATTCAATTTAAAAAAAAATTAAAAAGAATTTAAAAACCTAAAAATTGGCAGATGTTTCTTGGAAAATTATTTCTGGATTATTAAAAATTTCAATTATTCATTTACTCATTTATTCACATCTTTTTCATTATTGATGGACAATACTTGTAAAATGGGTCACCCTGAATGACTTCTCTTATTTCAATATTTAGTTTTTATTACTATACTACTGAGATTTAATAAATTTTTATATTCGATATTTCTAAATTTTTTATGATTTATGAATAATTCATCAATTTTAGGCAGAATCTACCTAAAATTTTAGCATAATATTAACAACTGAGCAGTTTCACCTCATCATTTCTGGTTAAATTCGTTCTAACTATAAGAAAATCACTTTGCCAGAGAGTTCATTTGGCATAGACGAGTCTCGACAGCGTACGGTATTGTAAATGAATACCTTATGCACCCTTGACTTTTGGTTTTGATTTTATCTAATGAATTTTAGAAAAAATATAAGAACTTTAATTATTAGTGAATTGATCTTGCAAAGTTGGACCAATGCTTTTTTATTTTTCATCGTCCAAAAGTGAAAATAAGCAAAACCAATGAAGCGAGCGAAACTTAAGTTTTTAAGTTTAAGTTTTTGCTTGATTCAATTAAAATTCAAGTTTGTTGACAAAAAAGAAATGTCACAATTCTTATTGCATTTTTATATTTTTCCCTTTTTTGTTTAAAATAATTTTTGTTTGATTATTATTTGTAGTAAAAATATTTAATAAAATAAACTATCCCTTTCAAAGCTTATTCGACCAAGAAATTACTGTTTTTACTGATTAAAAAGAATTTAAAAAACTAAAAAGATTAATATGAATACAATTTTCATACTTTTGGGTTGCTATAAATTTGTAAAATTAAAATTTATGGTTTTTTATCATTTTTATCATCAATGAATTTAAAATTTTTGCTTCAAGGTCATTACAAAACTGCACATTGCAGTTGTTGGATGCAGTTAAGTAATATTTAATGAAAGCCGATCCATTCGGGTATTGCAAGAAAACAATGATTAGGCTCTGAGGTTTTTCTTTTCAAAGCTTTCAAACTATTTTTTACGGTCTTGCAATTTTTTGTTGCCTACGGCAGCATAATTATATAATTTAAAAAATTCCTTTTTCACCCTTTTTTGGATGGTCATTCTCAATCTCAGATTCCCTATTAGGCCCGGAAATCTTTAGGAATGTTTTAATTATTCCTGGCACTAGCAGTGCGCACTTCTGGACACATATTTTTTCTTGGAATCTAATCATTGGAACCATTTTTTTGTAGTTTAGGTGTCACAGTTTTTAGTTCTCCAATTATCACTGGAACTACTTTGCTTTCTTCCACATCTCTATTTCATTTTTCAACCACTGGTAGGTTCTCACATTCCTTCTTCCTAATGTTCTCGTTTGTTCATGCTATTGCTATTATCTGTTTACAGTGATTTCTGGCTCTTACTTATACTACGATATCTGGTTGCGGTATTTGTCTACCCGGTTGGAGAAACCTCACAGAGTCTTCGCTTCACTTCGCTTTCCACAGTTTTTTGTCACCCATCTGGTTTTAAATGGAAAAAGGATGGCGAAATGGAATTATGAAATAGTGGCTCAAAATGTAGAATGAAATGGGACCGATTCAGGATGAAAAGGAATGAGTGGTGAAGGAATGGATGGCGAATGCTGGAAAGAAGAGGAATACTTCCATATACTCTCTCTATATCTGGATTGGCTTTTTTCTATTCCTTCATTTTCCATTTTTTCATCTCCTGTCACCTCATATATTATTTTTTCATATTTATTCTCTCTGTCTCCGAGCTTTTTCTGCTCTCTACTTTTTCCACTTTTTACTTTCTTTCTTCGTTTTATCATTTTTTTTGTAACCTTCTCTTTGATTCATATCAGTTATACTACAAAAGTAAAGGGTTAGAGTGGAAAGGTCAGGCGTGAATGGGTCACATTAATTGTTTTTCTTTTACGCCCTCGTTTTATTATACCTTAGAATTTCATCTTTCTCATATTTTTCATTTTGATTTTAGTCGTTCACGTATGAATTAATGTGCTTCACGTATGACGTCGTAAATTAAGAAATTTGTTGTTTTATTAGAGTGGATTATTTGTATTTTCAGGTTAGTGTCCAATATAAAACGGCTCCCGTTGACTTGATATATAATAATATAATTGACGAATTAAACAAAGCGAATTTCTCGTGACGTTTTATTTTACTAATCAACAAAATCTGGTAAATTACATTATTCTTTTTTTTGCTTAAATTTGTTTAAACGACTTAGAATTCAGGATGATCTGCTTAAAATTGATCTATGGAAGATCCATTGATCTATGAGGCCTAAATCGGGTGAATGGGAGAAAGCGCGCGTAGTATTTTATCTAATATTTGCAGGGGTTATTTGATGAAGAAATTCATTTAGCGATTTCTCTAATCCTAAAAAATACCTATTTGGTTCTTTGTTTCGTCCTTTAATTGGCATTTATTTGATTCTAAAAATTAAATTTACATATTTTTAATAGATTTTTGCTTTTTGCTTTCTTTAACTAAAATTCACTCGAAAATTTTAGTCGCTCGCAAGCGATTAATTTTATTTAAAGATTTTCCAGATCAATTTAAAAGAATAGAAGAAAATTTGACCTGAAATTAGGTAACGAATTCTATATTCGAAATCAAAGCTCTCGCCGTTATACACTGTCAGGTAATGAAAATTTGTGCTTGAAATTCTTCAGCTGCATCAATCTAAAACTTTTGCATACATGGTGGTTGCGTAATTTAGTCAAGCAGTATTCCATTCCTATGTCTGAGATAACAAATCTAAAATCGGACTGGCTATTGAGGACATTCTGTAATTTCATCCTCAGTTGAGCCTTTGGTGAAGGGATTTCGTCCTGTAACTAAAAAAGTTAACTAGAGAAACCAGAAATGGTGTTCGAGAAAGTTTTATGGGCCGATTCTCCTTTTTATAAAAAGATTTCTTCTTGAAGCTAGTGGTTGGACTACTTTTAAAAAATTCCCATTAATTCTTTCGATATTATTTTTTTTTGTATTTCTTTAATGAATATTCGTTGAAAATAAGATTGGCTTCTCTAGAACTAATTGAACTAGTTTCATTCACTGATGGACGAACTGGTTTCGTTTGTTTCGTTTTGAAATCATTTTTCAATCAAACCAAGCATATATTGATACTACGTTTTTCTTTCTTTAATTTTTTTTAATATCAAAAAATTAATAGAATTTAAAACTAAGGCTTAAAAGTTTCTTCCAGTACGATTTTTTTGAATTTACATGGATTTTGGATTTAAATGGATTAAAATGATCTATTTTTTCCACGATTTTCTTATTATTTGCTTAAATATTTATCCATCGTTCATCGTCAATCCACCTATGTAAATGCATTTATATGGTGAATATAAAGTAAATAAAAACGAGCAAGAAAGAATAAAATAAAAATAAAATCGAGAGCGTTGAGCAAATTTTCTTCTTTTTATCAACCAACCATTCGTAGTTGTAGTGCGTTATTACTATTGATGAGCTAATGGCTCGTTGATGATCCTTTTTTTCATAAAAATTTCTGAGTTTTTTTTTCTCATTAAATTCGGGTGCATTTTTTTTTAAAATTTGAATTCTTGTTCGATATATTTAATAAATTATTTTACTCGATTACTTGAGTTCATACCATTACAATCCAATTTTGTCGAAAGTATTTCCAGTGAAGGACTGTTTAGAAGAATACAAAAATTAAAGAAATTTGTTTGGCTGCGAATGTTTTAATTTAAGTTTGTAAATATCTAAATTTTTTATTAAATGCATTTTGTAGGATCTTCTCATCAAATTGGATTTAAAAATTTTTTTCGTCGTTTTAATCTCATTTCATCATTTTGTTTAACAAAAATGAATTTTAGTTGCCGTCGGCATGGCTTTGGTTTCCCACCCGACAACTGCAGGAGTTATCGTTGGCAGTTCAGCTATGTTCGTACCATCGAGCTCATCATCTGGAACTCTTAATAAAGAAATCGTACACAGTAAACACGTTAATGGTAAAACATTGGTTGGAGGAATTCACGGAACTTCTAATACGCATCAGGTAAGGCAAATTTTTCTATTATTTCATTGAACCATTAGCATTTTTTGAATTTTTTCAGCGCAGAATAATAATGAAGTAAGTTTTCATGGTGGTTTATTTATGAAATTTTGCCAATGTTAGTGGAATTTCTTTCTAAATCTTGAGAAAATTCGCAGTGAAATCAAGTTTGAAGAATTTCTTCTTCCTTAAACTTTTCTTCAAAAATTTATGATTTTAAGTCAGCGGGAGCAACAAACTATGCATCATCACAAGCAATATTGACAGCAGCACAGCCTTTTTATCAATCTGCAGTGGTACATCAATCAGATTTACAACCCGATCGTCCGATAGGCTATGGAGCATTCGGAGTTGTTTGGTTTCTTTTTTTCATATTAATAGTATGATATTGATAATATTTATAGATATTTAACTTCTTATCATAAATAATATTTCAAAGTTTACAATAATCTAATTGTTTTTTTGAAGATAACCGCAATGTATCATGTTGAAATACAATTAAATATACTGTAATTCGTATTTAGGGCAGTTACTGATCCGAGAAACGGGAAACGGGTTGCGTTGAAGAAAATGCCAAATGTTTTCCAAAATCTCGCATCTTGTAAACGTGTTTTCAGGGAAATTCGAATGCTGTCAAGCTTTAAACACGATAATGTAAAGTTTTTTTTGGTTATTGTTTATTATCTAAGTTATATTGAACTGATAAAACTTATCACCCCACATCCTATATATTTCATATAAGGATTAAATGGCTCAGTGGGTTGTTGCTCAACTTGGTTGTTGTCAATGCTGAGGTTCTATTTCCCGCACGAATGAATTTATCCAAAAATCCGGGTAATGCTGGCAACCCATGTATATTTCTATCGCCAAGAAACTCTCTGGCATATTTGTCCAGTGCGACAAGCCAGCGGAGCGTGTTTAACCAGTATTGGTGAGGGCTCTTCAAAAAAAAATATTTCATGAATAAATGTAAAAATATAAATTATTATAAAATGAATATTTTCATTGAATACTTATTTTTATACTTATTACGATACTTATTACTTATACTTTTATACTTATTACTTATTTGCTTATATCATTAAATTTGCGCAAATAACTCTGCAAATTTGTCAAAAATTTGATCTGTTATAAATAAATGAAGTTTGTGGCGATAAGAGATAAAATATTTTTTGTCTTGTTTGTGTAGATCATCGTAGTTTTTATAAATTTTCACAAAACAATTTTCATTCAATTGTTGGTCGTTCATCAATGAAAAATGATGGTCAGTCACGTTCGCACATTTTATGTCCATTAACTGTAAAATTCTACTGTTAAAATTGCATTTTAATCCAAATGTTCATTTAGAAAAAAAAAAAACGATTGGCTGTTCAACCATATTTATTGGTTCTGAAAGGTGTTATTTTCATTGATAATGAAAAGTTGCTTTTGGCCTTATGATCGAATAGAAATTTAGCCCAGTTTCTCGAAAAAAATCTATATTTATTCGCATGATTTGGTGGCTTAGATTATCGTACAGAGAGGTTATCCATCCCTCCGGTAGAAGTAAACCTGTCGTTAAAAATTGGAGGTGGTGCTGATGAGATTTGTATTTCTGTCACTAAGAATTGGTAACTATTAATAGCCGGCGAAATAAGTGCAACCAGAAATGGTGAGCGCTAATCACTTAACAAAATTCTCTTTAAATAATTTTGGCACATTTAGTTTTATTTTTTGCAGGTGCTTGGCTTAATTGATATTCTACAGCCAACAAATCCGCATTTTTTTCAAGAATTGTACGTTTGAAATTTTGCATTTCTTATGTTTCGTTTTTTATCCTTGTAATCACTCGATGTGGAGTTTTTATCAATTGTATTTAGGTTTGTTTCGTTTCGCTTAAACTTCATATGAATGATTATTTTGTTTAGTACCATGTGCTCATCTTATAATCTCTTTAGATATGTGCTGACGGAATTAATGCAAAGTGATTTGCATAAAATAATAGTATCACCGCAAACATTGACCACCGATCATGTTAAAGTATTCGTCTATCAAATTCTAAGAGGTATTTTTCTCTTCATAAAATTCATAATTTTTTAATTTCAATTTTTATAGTAATTCGAATTTTTCCTGAAAATTTTCACGATGAATCTGTCGAAAACTTTTTTTAGGTCTGAAATATTTACATTCAGCAAATATTTTGCACCGTGACATAAAACCTGGCAATTTACTCGTCAATAGCAATTGTATTTTGAAGGTATACTTTAAACTTTAAATAAGCATTTTTCTTTGTTCGGGTCGATTATGCTTACGATTTGCAAATTTATCTTTTTTTTAAATTTTATGTTCCATTGTTTTTTTATGGTTTGAACATAAATAAGCTTTAGATTTGCGACTTCGGATTAGCTAGAATGTGGGATTCACGCGATCAACAGAATATGACGCACGAAGTATTTCTTCAACTTTTTCATATTGTTATTTCCCATATTCAACAAAATTTAACAAAAAAAGAATTAATATTAAAAAATTTTTAATATTTTTGTTCCCTTTTAAATTCTAATATTTCGAAATTCGACTTTAAAAACAGATTCTTACAGTTTTTCATGCCTTTTATATTTTAAGGTGGTTACTCAATACTATAGAGCACCGGAACTCTTGATGGGTGCTAGACGATATACTAGTTCGGTGGATGTATGGTCAGTTGGATGTATATTTGCTGAACTACTTGCCCGAAGAATTCTTTTTCAAGCGCAAGGACCTATTGAGCAGGTTTACGGTGTTTTTTTTAAATTTATTGGATCCAGTTTTCCAAAATCTAATTATGCAATATCCATATACTCTAACCTATAAATCCATATACATTAAATTTTGAAATATTTATGTTTTTATATTTATTTATGAATATTTGTGTTTTTTTATGTGTATTTCACGTCATTAATATTATTTTTATGGTTTTATAGATTCATTTTATCATTTTTAAAATCTTTTTTAGTTAAATATGATAATTGATTTATTGGGAACACCAGCGCCCGAAGAAATGAAGACTGCTTGTGAAGGAGCTCGCAATCATGTATTGCGATCACCGTTCAGACCACCAAATACTGCAAGATTCTACGAATTAACCAACCATATGACTTTTGAAGCCGTGCATCTTCTGACTTCGCTTTTAACATTCGATCCGGTATATTCGATAATCCTATCTATTTAAAATCTGAGAAATTTCAAAAAAAGGTTCAAAAGGTTCAAATAAGGTTCATTTCGTTCTCAGGATAAACGAATTGGCGTAGAAAATGCGATAAATCATCCATACTTGGAAGAAGGGAGAATGCGTTTCCATTCATGCATGTGTTCTTGTTGCTATACTACGCCATCGAACAATCGAGTTTTCTCACAGCTTCTTGATCCTTTAGTGAGTTTTTCGTTTTAAAGTATAATATTTTCGTGTCAACATTTTTATTTTTGTTTCAATTTTTCACAATTTAACGAAAAATAAAATCATCAAACTTTATTTTCATTTTTTATTTTACTATTCTTCTGCTATTTTCAATTTAAAAAGGAGAATTTTCAATTTTCAGTTTTTTATATAACTGTTACGGTTTCAAATTATTATATCTTTCTTATATGACATTCTTATATGACATTCTCTGAATTTTTTTCTTCATTCGCTAATTTATATTGTTGGACGGCGAAAGCTGTTGTGTTGTTATAAATCGGAAAAATGATGGAAACTTTTAATTTCGTTATTTGGTTACAGTTGGAGATAAAATGCGATATGTAGTATATTTAAATATGATATTGGAGTTTTTATCTTTTTAGCATGAGAAACCATTTGATCCAAAGTGGGAGAAGGAGTTGTCGCGAATGTCGATGTTTGATTTGCGTGATCGAATGTATAATTATGTAATAGAAAGAACACCGATGTTCGGCGTCCCACTTTGCATAAATCCAAATTCTGCAGCGTATAAGAGTTTCGCCAGGTTAGAAAAATTTGAATTTAAGTGTGTTTAAGTCAGACTCTGGCTAGCCAGGACTATCTTAAAATCTGGACATACCTATCGATATGCCACCTAATTTATATTCCCTTTAACACACCTCTATATACTATAATTTTTTATACACCTAATCCTCATCATTCTTCCTTCAAATTCCTCCTATTCGTATAAATTTTTGTTACTCCACAGCCATATTTATGTTACTTTTTACCATTCTACAATACTCGTCTAGTGTGTCGATGAAAATGCAGGTTTTCAGATTATTAAGTTTAAGGGGCTATAATGGTTCTCAAACAATGGCAGAAATATTTAGTTTTAACAGCTGTATGAATTTCGAGTCGAATTGCACTGTTTTGGTGCGTTGCCCTCGCACTAACCGACCGTTTTATTGCAGAGAAAATTATAATTTTTGCTATTAAGCAGCTGCTTGCCTGTTTTTAATTTTAATTTGATTTAATTGTTCTAATTTCGTTCTAATTTTCTTAGAATTTTTCCCCAATATGAAGAGACATTTTAAATTTGATTCCATCAATTATTTTTTCACTTTTTATTTTTACTTTTTGAAAAAATTTTGCAGTATTTTTCTTTATGCCAGACGTGCCTCTCTATATTTTACATATTTGCTATCTATTTCTCGAAATAAATTATTAAAATTTAGTTCTTCTGTCGCTCAGCCATCTGAACTTCCACCTTCACCAAATGCGTGGGATTAATCAATGCTTGACCAGCAACTCGACGCTTGTTTAAACATGGATTCTGTGCTACTTCAAATTTGCTCCGATTCAGTTCTGCCTCACTAGGATTTCCTTCTATTTGTATCTCGTTACTGCCTGGTTTCATTTTCATTATCTGATGCTTCTTTTTATCTCTATTGAATCTTTTATTAAATGATTTTTATTAAATATTTTTGTTATTTTAACCATCTAATTAAATTTTTTTCTAGAAAAATTGTTAAAAGATACACGAAAGTTTAAATTTTCAATTAATTATTCATAATATTCAATTCGCAATTTCGTTGGTCTTTTACCAATATTTCTTCTATTTTCCAGTTTTTTATGCATTTTTCTATTAATCTATATAATTTCGTTAAATAATTCTATAAATATTTATATATTTTTGCATAGATTAAAGCGCTCCTACAAAAACGAAATTAAGGATTTTTGCAAAAATCCTCCTTCTTTCGCTATTAAGTTTGCTATTTTCGTTTTATGTTTTATTTTTAATTTGATTAATAGTGGTGAAATGGACTAGGAAAAATTAATTGATTGATCAGTTAATTAATTGATCAGTTTTTTTGATCGGCTTTTTTGCGATTGGCGTGGTAGGCATTAACGGTCAATAACAATTTTGCTATAAAACTGCTATTTTTCGTAGTCCTTTTCATCAGTACTTGCTTGCCTTATTTTATTTTAATTGTGATGAATTCACCGACTGATAATTTTGCTAATCGTATCATTTTTTCGAAATATTGTATTGCAGTACCTCGGCATACTTTTTACTTTGCAACAAATTCCTGTTCACTATTTTATTATCTCGCCTTTAATTTCAGTTTTCCATTTGCTTTCGAATGATTAAGTTAAGGAAATTGAGATTCTTCACCTAAGCATCCTAAAAAATTTCTATCGATTTTCCTACCGACTTTTTGGAGATATTTTTTAGGCTTTACTGATTATTGTTAAATTAAGTATTTTCATTCCAGTCGAGATCTTTCGTAATATTCTACTGCCAACTTGATATTTTTTCTCGGCTTTTTCCTGCTTGGCTCTTTTTTTATTGACCTTCGCCATAGTAATTTTATTTTTTACTTTTAGATTAGAATTTTAATTCGTTTTTCACTGCCTATTTCCATGCTACTGCATTTCTATATTGCTGTACAAGCACAAAAAAATAATATGGGCTTTCATTGTCGCCATTTGATCGCAAATCAATGCTCATCAAGTCTTTCGCATTATTCTCATTACCGTTGGCGTCGTCTTCCGTCAGCTAAATCCAACCTATCAGCAATATCAACAGTAATGTTATCAGAATTTCAACTATATTTGTCAATTTTTCTTTATATTTTTAACATTTGTTGGTTTCGATTTAACACAAAGCCAAGTAAGGCTGTTATTCTAGTAGGTTTTCTCATGCACTTTACTATCATATCTCATAATCATTTGTTTATTTGTTTGTAATCCACGATCTGAGCTATGTAGCCTTGGCTTAATTTACTAAAATTAATCTTTTAACCAAAAAATAAACGGTTACCACTTACTATTTCTGGTTAAACTGGCTTCGTTAGTTGTTAGCATGGTGAGGATTTTCGCTTGCCGATTGAAATACAGTTGGGTATCCAGTATGAAGCGAATGTTTTAATGGTACACTTACTTTTGTTGGAAGCCCTATCCGAGACCCTAACCCTCAAAATAATAAGTCTGAGCAACCAACCACTCGGCAATCCTTCGTTCAGAAAATAAGATGCTACATTTCAGAAATTTATTGCATATGACTTAAAGCAAGTTTGTGGACTATATTTCATTCCACTTTTTATAAATTTGCTTAAAACTGTATATAAATTAATTTTAAAAAATTCCAGCTAAAAAGTGTTAAATAGAATTTTTTGATATTTTGAATGAACACAAGATTTTTTATTAAAAAATTTTTTATTAAAAAAAAATTCCTCGGAATTCTTTGTGAAATGTTTATGCTTTGTAACTATGCATATGTTACTTTTTATACACTTGTAAAGTAATGAAAAAGATAAATCTTCTTGCTTTTTAGTCGAATTTGCTCTCAATATTTATGTTATTCAGAAATCGTTTTAGAATGGCTACGATACAAGCGTTTTCTTTTTACACCTTAATTATCATCAAAAATTATCGTCGAAATTATATGTGAAGCTGTTTTGCGCAATAAATTGCAAATTATTTAGGATAATACGGACTATATAAGTGAGATTTTAGAAAAAAACTTCACATTCTCTGATTTCACTAAATTATCTTTAAAAAGGATCGGTTAAATCTCTTAATTTGCATATCTTTGTATTGAATATTTTGAATATTTTTTGAATATATTGAATATTTTTTGAAATAAACATCTTTGGAAGTAAAGCGTGGAATGGTACTTTTTAAATGAGAATTCCACTGTATAGCTCTTTTAAATAAAGTGGAAACCCTTGAAAATCGTTTTATTTTATAATATCTTTAAAAAACATTAATAAAATTGATTGGAAACAGTGGGATGATGCTCGCCTGCCATGCGTTAATCATAACAGATAACCTTGATCCGGCTATTTTTCAGGACAGTAAAATAAAAATTGATCACCGAACGAATTAAAATTTTTATTCGACCCTCAAACTTGGGTAATTAAACCAATTAATATACAGTTAGAAAAAACAAGCTTCGATTAAACCAAATAGATTAAAAGGCAAAACAAAGGAGAAGAATAAAGAGGTAAAGGATAAATTAACGAATGAATGTTTCAAATATTAACATTAATAAAATATTAATATTAAAATATTAATATTGGGACCCAAGTGCTTGGGTCCCTTAATGGCGCCTAAAATGGCATAAGAACGATATGCGCCTAACAGGTGCAGATGCATGATATGTCGCCTAAAAGAGGGAGAAGAATGATATGGCGCCTTAAAGTGCAGAAGAAAGATTTTCATAAGTATACGACATGTATCTAAATTGTCCTTCATGTTTTATTGACATATAAAGTGCAATTACCAAAGAATCGATTAAGAAAGTTTTCTTTGGCGGGTCGCGGTCACCGGTTTGAAACAATGATTTAAGAAAAGACCACATTTCGCGACAATTATTCTTTTTTAAATGAGGATTCCACGCTTTGAGCCTGGTTGCCGTTTTTTTCGAAACAATTTTTATTTCCAATTGAGTGAAAAAGTTTCAGCAAGTTATTTGCATTATTGCTAGAATTATCCGTTAATTAAACATTTTTTTTCGATAGCCAATTTTCCTCGGCAAAAAGGCGTAAATAGATAAATTAGATGTATAGTCAATAATTTTGTTTTTATAATTTTTATTAGTTGATTTTATTTTTTTGCAATTATTTTTTGGCTATTTGCTTAAATTATGGCGTAAATAGGGATATAATTACGAGCAACATAGATGGATTTTTATAGTGTTTTTTAAGCATTTTTTAAAGCATTTTAGACACTGTATGATGATTTCCCAAAATTAAGATTTATTATTCAGTAAAGCTTATAAAATTTTAATTTTCCCATATTATTTACGATATTTATCATCGTTAAATCGTCATAAATCATTTTTTCTAATTCCATGAAATCTGTTTTGACTGTAGTGAAATGCTTGGTTTCAAGATTTGATTTCATTCATAAGGATCTCAAGTATTTAGTAAAGTATTTAGTAAAATACCTCTAAAAATCCCAAATAAACAATTTCTAATACATTTCGATATAAAATAAAAAGCGTAATCTTTCAGTTTACATCAGAATTTTCGTTATATTTCATGCATAAAAAATTATAAAAATGTTCGAAGTGCAATTGCCATCATTTATGGAATATACGCAAAAAATTAGAATTTTTTATTATATTTTATAATAAATATCTTATATGATGTAAGTAAATAAATGGCCAAATAGTCTGATTTCTGGTTAGGTTCGTTGGCTGCTGTTAGTACGTACGATCAGACAGTTTTGTGACTAAGCGGTAGAAGTATAGATGAACGAGCTTCCAGCACAACTAAAATTTCCACATTACATTTTTACTCTACCGATGCTAAACCAAGAAGATAAGGTAGCGGAGGCAACAATCACTACTCGGCTATTCCGCTCCAAATAATTTATAGTATAATTATGACCATTGCAGGCTTATTAAATAATTAAATTTTCTCCGATTGTCATGTTTTTATAGTTTAATTTTAAAATTTTATAGTTTTAATTGATGAGCAAATTTTAACAAATTCAAGACTTTGAAAAATATAACATTCGAGACTTTGAAAAATTTCAAACAGACTCCAAATATAACATCTTTTTGAAAAGAAATTTAATTGCCTGAAATTCATAAAATTTTTTATGCCCACAAAACTTATCGACGTTATATTAGGCGTAATTTAACTTCATTAAGACTAAGAAGATTTTCGGCTTTTAATCAATAAAATTCTCTTCAATGTCATAAAATCCATAAAATCCATTATTGAAATATAGTATATTCATCTAAAACTTAACTAATTAATTTAGCAGATGAGAGTTTTTGTTCGAAGAGATCTCTTTGTTTCTATCGTCTTTTTAGCCCCTTTCGAAATTTCCAAAATTTTTTTCATTTTCCTTGTTTTTTATTTTACTTTTTTTTCTTTTCCTTTATTTCTATCTCCGTCGATAATTTCGTCATTTTTCAAATACGCTTAATTCCATTTCGATTAATTTTTTAAGCGATGGAATTGCCTACTAATAAGATTTTCGAAAAGATAGCAGTAGTTCTACTAAATTTTTTTAAGGCGCTATGTACTTATCGAATAATAATATGCATATAGCGTATAGCGTATAATATACACGCAAAAAAGGCACTTACAAAACACGTATGGCTAATACGAATATTGCAAGCTTAGCTATATTTTGTTTGCTTTGATCGAACTTGAGTTGATGTGATTTTTGAGAACTGTTGAATATGCAGTATTAATGAAAAGAGCTATCGAGTGAATCTTATTTCGGATTTTACCATTATCCGCTTCTTCAGACCACTTCTTAAATCG